TGTGTGTGTGTGTGTGTGTGTGTGTGTGTGTGTGTGTGTGTGTGTGTGTGTGTGTGTGTGTGTGTGTGAGTGTGTGTATGTCTCTCTGTGTGTGAGTGTGAGTTTGTGTGTGTGTGTGTGTGTGTGTGTGTGTGTGTGTGTGTGTGTGTGTGTGTGTGTGTGTGTGTGTCTGTATACAAGACAGAGAGAGGTGGGCAGACAGGGATAATTCGTGTGAGGAAAATTAAAGCGCTGGCAGCTCGTCCATCACACAGATTCAATTCAATGGAAAGATAAAAATGTCAATGTTCCCCGTGCTCAGAGCCACCGTCGACAGTGATGAAACTTTCTCCCTCTCCCTGTCCTCCAGCTCCCCCCCCCTTCTGCTCTCTCAACTCTAGATTTTCATTCTCACTCGATACTCTCCGAGCCATCATCTTCCTCTGCTATCCTTCCTGGCTGATGTTATCCTCCCCTAGTTCTCCATCATTCTTTGCTTCATCTTATTTTACTTTTATTACCTTTTTTTTCTATCGCTGAATAACACCTTCCTCGAGGAACATGTGGGAGACCGTTTTGTGAGGGGGGGAGATGATTAAGGGAGGGAGGTACCGAGCTACGGTGGCTGGCCTGAACTCACAGACATAAATTCAGTTTCAAGGATTGTGCTGAACCATAAGCTCTTTCCTTATACACAGCGGAAGAGTTAAAATACAGAGGAATGAAGTTATTTGGGCAGAAATGCTTTTTAATGTCATCATATATATTCTATATGCTGCTTAAAAATCCAGTCATGTCCAACCTGTAGCCTTTAAACAACGCTTATCCACTTGTGTTTCAATAACACTATTACATATACAAATGTATAGTGCAGTTTTTGTTTTCGTTGCAATATTTTTTTTATATATGTATCAATATACATGCAACATACATGGTCCATGCCTATATAAGGACTACTTTCCCATATATGGAAATGTATGATCCAGTATCTTGTATTATATTTACCAATATATTACAATATATTTTCGTTTCATAAGGGCCACCCCCCTCCCCCACCCCGTCCCCAGAACTACACATGCTGGCTATTGTGTGTTTCGCAACATGTTCACTCAGAATATATGCTATAAACTGTTAGCATTTCAAGCTAAAGGGTGTTTTATTTTTACTATTTAAAATTATTTTTGAGGGGATTGATTATTAAAAAATGTATTTTCTTTTATGATATATTGTACATCAATCTTCATTTTGACCATGAGTCTCTAATCACAACGAACTTTGGACTCCTGTCTATAAACGGTTACCATCTCAAGCTAAATGGTGATTTTAACCTTGTAAGAGTCTAAAAATATATTTTTCCTGAGTAGTTTAAAGAGTAAAAACGACCTGGTATGTACAAATAAATAAATCAGGGGAAAGGGGCTGGCTACGATGGAAAGTCGAGAAAAATCGAAATCTAACAAACTTTATTTTTCTCTCATGATTAATATTGCGCTAACCTTCATTAAGAAGTCTCGGTCGTCTTTAACCACACACTGTCAGGTTGATGATAATGTGGCACCAGGCTTACAGGCGTTTCCCTTGTAACCCTCCACTTGCTCCTAACACCACCCCCCCTCCTTCTGATGCCGTCTTGCTTGGCATCGCCACCTGGCAGCAGGCCTGGCACTGTCGTCTGGAGCCGTCTGCCGACACACGCAAGGTCACCCCGACACGAGCAGGGGGTCCACCTTCTGTGAGACTGAGTATAGGGTGTCTAAGAGTTGCTGTCCGAGTGCATTCTTGTTTTTATTCATATCGGTTTTTGTTTGTCACTTTCCATGTGCATAATTTGTGCAGGAAATTATGCACAAGCATGCATTTTTGGTGTGTGTGTGTTTTGTGTGTGTGTGGAGAGGCAGAGACTCCCTGCTGGCCCCAGATGGCCAGCCTCTCCTTCCTCAATAGCCCTGACCAGTTTCATTAGACAAAGTCATCGCCGAGGACACAGAGACAAGCAATCGACACACTGCACAAAATGACGAAACCAGAAAAAGAGATCACAGATCAACCAAAAGCAACCGAGCAAAGATGGCTGGAAATACACCGATAATAGTTATTCACTCCTCTACTCCATTCAGAAAACCAATTTGAGCTGTTTTGACTTGTTACGCATTCACCACTAGATGGCTCTCCAACTCAAATTTTCTCCCCTGTTGTGAGCTTTTGTGAGTGTCGAAAAAGATGGCTGCTGTGATCCGTCTAACCATGATTAATGGCCCCATTCAAAGGTAAGGAGCTCAGAGGATAACTTCTTTTACTGTAAGCCACAGAGCTGTGGCATGGGGAGCGCTCTCTGCTCTCACTCTAGCAGAAAGATGAGGTAAATAGCGGCGGGAAGACAGGAGGCGGAGAGGGATGGAGCTATGGAGGCTGTCTGCATTTGCTTATTATCAATATATGTAGTATAACTAATCACTTATCAGTATGTATGTGTACAAACGTGTATGCACACAATCTGGTGTAAAAATGATGGTGTGTGTTGATGTCATGTGATGGGGCCTCTGTGAGTTCTGTGCGGTCACACCTCTTCCAATTACTTTATCAAGTCTGACTGCCTGCGTGTATGTGTGTGTGTTTGAGAGTGTGTGTGTGTGTGTGTGTGTGTGTGTGTGTGTGTGTGTGTGTGTGTGTGTGTGTGTGTGTGTGTGTGTGTTCACACAGCCCCCGGGGTGCAATGATGGGAGCAGACGCCTGCTCTTTCACTCTCGGCAGGTGAGAACATATTCATCACTGAGGCCTGCCAAGCCTGGCGACACCCTGACTGTTATTGCCAGTCTGCATCACGGCTGCCCTTTGTCTGGCTTTTACAGTGGATATACTCGTCAAAGTATGAAAAGAAACAAGCGACTAAAAGCAGCAGTGTGTGAGGAAATAGTAACAGCTTTGATTTCACTCCGACTTTGTTTCTGTAAACAACAAAAGGTCACAGTATTCTCAGAAAATAGACAGGTTTTTTAATAAATAATAAATCAACAGTCACTGACAGGATTGCCCCCAAAGCTGATATGTGTTTGCATTATGTAATGTTGGCTTAAGACTTCATTCAGTGGTAACAATTAAGCTAACCCCTCTGGGATTAAAACAACCACGATGAGATCTGTGCTCGACCCTTACACAGCCATGTGGGAGGAGCAGGGGGTTCTGGGTAAAAACAGTGTTAATACTCACACTCCTTCGACATCCCGACTTCCAGGCACTTCTGCAGCCGACAGTACTGGCAGCGGTTGCGGGTGACTTTGTTGATGATGCAGTTCTTCTCCCGGTGACAAGTGTACACCATGTTCTTCTGGATGCTTCTCCGGAAGAAGCCCTGCGAGACAAAAAAAAGACGGAGATGAGACGAGGAGAGAGGACAGGTGTTTGGCGGAGGGGGCGGCTGGCAGAAGAAGTGTGAGGACAAAAGTAAATAGAGCAGATAAACAGCCAAATGAAATGTGCTTTTCCTGTTGTGTGTGTTGCTATGTACTCATTCTTTCATTCTGTGCTTCCTGCAAACTCTTTCCGCATATGTTGCTCATGTACACAATGTTCCTTTCCATCCTGTTCTTTAGAAAACACTCACTTACTTGCAAGGCTAAAAGATGGATATTAAAATGAGGCTGTGCAGAAGGGCAACAGCAATTAAATGGCAATAAACTCACAAACAGTCGAGTCCTTTAAAGGCTCATTGCATCACATAATGTGGACGGAGACTAATAGTTAGTAAACATCTCATGAGGTCGCCCACCTGCTCAGTGACGGACACCACTGATATTATTATTTTGGAGATGTTTGAGGTCCAAAGGGCTTTTTTTGGGCAAAACACACAGGGTTACTCGGTGCCATATAAACGTGGCCTAGTTTACACAGCCAGAAATAAGAGACTCTATATCCAGGCCAAGCAATTATTATTAGAGAGAAAGAGAGAACATAGCGTTCAAAACAGGAATCCCTCTTTTCCTTTATTCCCCTTTTCAATCCGAGAGGATCAAAGGAAACTGAACAATTATTCGGCGCTCATCGCTGGTCGCTGAAATGAGAGATCTTTGGGGAGGCTAGCTTTGTTTTGATTGCACAAAAGCAAGAGAGCAAAGTACCCCTCATAGATAAGATAAAAAGACATACCATGCAACCCCAATAAATCAATGTTCACCTCTGTGACCTCAGCGTGTCAAAATGAAAAAAAAAGGTTAATGCAAATCTACTGAGTACTCAGCAAAGCATGGCTCGGAAAATACGGGTCAATACGAGTATCGATGGGACACAGTGGGGTGTGTTTTTGGGTGGGTGGGGCTAGCTAGTAAGAGAGGGAGGTGGGGCGGAGTGTGGTGTGGGAGTTGCCAGGGAGCCCCATCCCATGCCAAGGGATTAGCTCTGCTAGCCGACAGATGGCTGGTGGACCTAAGCCCGCAATTTGTCCCTACCGGATCACCGGCCCCTCCTCACATCTCTGTCCACCGCCGCGGAGTGGAAGTGATAGCGATGAACCAAGAAGAGGAAATGTGTACGGTTTGTCTCGTACCTGTTCTATAGTTTCGATTACACTTCCAGCTGGTAGAGGCAATCCTCAGAGGGTCACCTCAGCTAACCCTTGTCTGGATTTCATCAAGGCCTACAGCTTCTTTGCACGTAAAAAACGCCCTGCTTTTCACGCATCATTTCTGGCCTAGGAATAAAAGGTTTGGTACCTCCTTCTCTGAGCTGTGAAGAATTAACGGCAAAGCGGAGACAACCAAGCTCGTAGTTTGCCACTAAGTCTCTGTGCTGATGCTGAGGGATAAGTGCGTGGTCTTTGTGTGAGCCTGTGCATGTGTTTATCATGTCCCCTTTGATCCGCCGTTGCCCTGACCCTGACCTCGGTGTCACAGGGTATTGACCCGCTCCCCCCTCCCGCACCACGAGGCTCAGGTGCCCTCTCGCAGCCCCTCCCTATTGGCTGCCGCTGCCGGCTCATGGGCTAGTCGATTGTTCCCGCCCCTCCCCCCCCCCTCTCCTTTTAAGAGTCATTGCTTCCTGTGGCCCTTAAGCCTCTTTTTGTATCACCGCTTAATCCACCCGGCGACAAGAGCCCTCAGCGGGCCTGTCAGCCACCCTGCAGCGCTCAGAGGAGATGAGAGCCTCAAGAAAAGGGGGACAGGGAGAGGGTGGGGGTGAAAAAGAGAGGTGAACGGCAACAGTACACACATGATTGCGTGTGTCATGTGCTCTCAAATTCACGCCTGTCTACCTGGTTTGCATTATGGGCCTCCTCGTGCCTTTTATGAGTACTTTGCATCTGTGTGAGGAAATTCTTTATCAAGAGGCAAGAAAGGGGGGCGAAGAGGGGTTGGCGAGTTCACAGGGAAGCACAGGAATCCTCTCTTACGTGACTTTCACACTGTGCCCAGATTAAGAGTGCGTTCCCAGCCTCCCGCTGCGTGCATGCATGAGTGTGCGCCTCTATTAGGAAGCAGCTAGGGCTAAAGCCCGCACATTAGCAAAGACTGATGCTGGAAAACGCAGCAAATAGCCCACATTCTTGCTAGAAGCGGCGGTTGGGGGATTTCGGAAATATGGTCGCTTCTCTCGCATCGCAGGAAGAAAGATGGCCTGCTGCGCTCTGCTTGCCTCCAAGACAAAAACATAAACATGAGGGGGCGGGCATGCATATTTAATGTTAAAGTGTTAATATCTGGAGGGGGAAAGGAGTGCAATGCCGGTGAGTATACGCGGGCGGCAGAACTTAAACAACAAACGAACGAGCTGCTGTCTCCAAGTAGCAGAGCGCAACTTCCCCCTCCTGTTTCCTCTGTTCGCTGCAGCCCCCAGGAAATGCCTTTGTAGTTTGGCACGCAGCAGCAAAGCCGGCGCTGCTAACCCCCGATTTACCCCAGTCTCAGATGAGACATTCATATACATTCACATGCCTGTACTGTTGAATTATTAAGTACGCTGTGCCAAGTCATCTCCTCTGAAGTCAGATATAGAAAAGGCATCCTGAATTTTTCAAATTAGCACTGCGGCTGTTTAGTGGGCGGACAGAAGGTTCATGGACAGGGGACGAGCTGCTGACGCTAGCTAGCGGTTAAACAGGGGATATTTTTGTAGTTTAGCCAACATTCCTAATGATTATAATAGCACTAACGGACTGAATTGTTGCGTTTAATCCTGGATTAGAGTTTAAACCTTCCAGGGCGCAGAGAGCATGTCATCAACTGGTGATAAAACTTCTCAATCCAATTGTGTGTCATTCTTATAAAACAGTGTCTGAATTAAGACAGCCCTATCCGTAATGCACATAGCCCGGAAAAGCTAATTACAGTGTCAATTGTGAGTACATTTCTGAGCCGTCAGAGAGAACAATGCGGTGATCAGGAAGGACAAACACCTAATTACTCAAGTTTACAGTTCCTCTTTTGTTTACACTCCACCAATGTTTATCACACTGTGGCAGAGTCTTTACCTACGAATAACAAGTGTTATATTGTGGTTTTTAATGTGTTTTAAATGCCTCATTTGTCTTTAATAGACCTTAATCACAAAATGTTACATAAAGGTGTTAAGTGACCAATGGCTACTACAACTACACAACCTCTGCTTGAGTTGATATGAGGTCGATGTAACACCGACACTAACCGCATAACACATTTCATGCTTCTATATTAGTCTAACACATACAGACGGCTATTTAGACCCTCCAGAAAAACGCGATTCTGCGATCGCAGAATTTACCGCATAATCAGCAAAATGGCGCAGATTTTTAAAAAGCCGCATAATCCCCGCATTTTTCCACACAAAGTTGAGAATAAAAAAAGTTAACTCGTCTTGACGTGAAGTAGTGATGATGATGACGCGACGTCATCAGATCGCGCACCACAGAAGGTAAACAACACCGTAGAGTGAACGTGTGGAACTCACACGACGAACATTTCTGCTAAAAACCGGGCAAAGCAGTACCCCGATGTCTTTCAAGAAAGTGGGGGGAAACTATTCTGCACCCCGTGCAACTGTGTGTAGGAGCATAAGTCTTAGAGAAAATCGGCGGTGACGACCCACTTTGATTCATCCAATGCTTTCTGCTGCTGCGGACAAGAAAGCCAAACAACTCAAGTTCACCGAGGCATCAACCTCCAAAACCCTTTCGAGGGCTACAAGAAACGAAGTGAGTAGCCTACAAGATTGAAGATTGTCAGATAACGAACGAGTAAATGAAAACAGAATGAGGCGGAGAAGTGTGTGTGAGTGTGTGTGTGTGTGTGTGTGTGTGTGAGAGAGAGTGTGATTAAAATAGCTCAATTGCTTTTAAAATAAATAAACATTGAATGTGTTTAATTGAATAGGAAAGGGGTTTAACGTTAGTGGCACGTTGTGTGTGAGAGAGAATAAATAAGACAGCCCAATATTTAAAAAAAATATTATTTTTCGCAACTTTCCGCATATTTCGCAACTTCCCGCAATTTCACCGCATAAAATCACATAAAAACCCCGCATGTTTAATGGCATAATCAAGGATTTTAGCCCGCGTTTTTCTGGAGGGTCTAGCTATTAGACAATGAGGAGCAAGGGGAAACAATAAAAGCACCTTGGGGCTTAAATAACTTCTGCACACCTTTTGAAATCAAAATGAATGCTTTTAAAAACATGTAAGCACCTGAAATAAAAAAAGGTCAAAAAAGTAAGGTTTCCCACGGCCACATTTCCTGCCTGTGCCTGTTTTGAAACACGGGTTAAGAAACACAACTTTGAAATCAGATTACGTTGGAAAGTTTCATCACAGATCATGATGACACTGATTTATCTAGTGTCGATAGGGAGGGTTAGATTTCCAGTAACCTGATAAAAACTGAGTATGGAATTTTATGCAAAAATAAGGTTGATAGGAATTTATTTAAAAAAAAACAAGATATCAGAAATCTAGAGGATGTCATTAGCAGATATTTAAAGAATCCGCAGGAGCTCATGGAGCAGAACAACCAGCAGCGGTTTGGCCGACCCTATAAAACAGCACAGGGGTCAGCTTTTACTAACTTAGTTAACTTTTTATAAGTCTCGCTTTGGGAGCAGGTTGAGTTTCATGGAGCTCAGTCAGAGGGTTTGTGTTAAAGGGTTAAGTGTTTGTCTGTATGAATCCTTGCTTTCCTGTGCCCTTTGTGCATTCTTTACCCATTTCCCCTCCCCCCTATGTGAGCTGACCGTCTTTTTTTGGTGTCAATGAGTTCAACCGTGGCCCCTATACCCCATCAGCCTAATCTGCAGCCCCTTCAACCATCCCCCACTTCCCTCTTTATAGCTTTCTAATGCATCCCAGAGCACCGTCTGCTCTCTTTATCTCACTCAGAGCAATCTTTGTATAATTTTGTCTGCATTTCCACATCCTTTTTAAGTTCCTTCCCTTCCTTGTTGTTTTTTTAGCTAGCTTCTTTAGTAAGGTTTTTTCTCTCTGCTCTACCCCCTTTCCTTCCTGCACATATGGCAGCACACACACACCCCAGTATTGGCTGCACAGTCGATAAGTCAAAGGGTCTAGCAGGCACCTGTCACCCACAGCACCACCCTGCCTGCCTGCCTTCATCAAACCACTCCCTACTTCTGCTACACACAGTCTGTTGTTGGGAGAAAAAACGATATTTTCTGTTTGGGTTAACACTCCTCAAATCCTATGTCTGTGAATTCAAGAACCCATGATATCTATGCAAAAGACCAAACAAGATGGTTTACTCTTTTACTAAAGTATTTATCCATCTATCAATCTAAATGACTGACTTTGTGGATGTATGAGATTCACACCTGGCTGTTGGATTACATTAGATTCCACACGTTATCCCCTGAAGTTACACAACTCTGGCTCTGCGCCTTGGGAGAAGCGAGATAAAGACGACTGTGTGCTCATTCTAGCAGGAAAGCATGCACGCAGCAACTATCAACTGATAATGGAGCAGATGGGGGGGGGGGGGTATAAGGCCTCTTCAGACCCTGTATAACATGGCTGTATTGATACCATGTGGACACGTAAGCAGAGTTGATATGAGCGAATCTACAAGGCTGACAAAGTTTCACACTTTCCGTACTAGACGCCATCATAAACTCTTTACAATGTGCCAGAGGTTGTGAAAGAGGCATGTCAGCCAGGACAAATTGATGATTAGGTAACTTGATAACGAAGTCACATTCACATCTATCGTTTCTTATTCATATCTATATATTTAGACACCATACTCTACCCTGCTGTTTAAGCATCATATTTCATTTGAGTTTTACCATGCAGCACATCATGCACTTTTTTCTGAGACAGGAATTTTGTTACGTTTCTCAAAAAAAGATTGATGCTAGTTTTATATCTCATATGTTTGTTTATATGTATAGTTTCTTAATATGTAGGTGTGGAGAGCTGAGCGCAGTGCAACTGCCCGTTATACTGTACATATGACAATCAAATATCTTCAATCTTGAATCAAATGATGAAGTTTTGACCCAACATTAAATTCCAGCGTTAAACCTCGAAAAACCCCAAAAGAATGTGAAATACTCAAAATGACGTGCCTAATCATTTTCATCATCTGAGTTTAGCCTGTGAAGTTCCCCCCCCCACCCTTATAAATCACACGAAGGTTACAGGATTGACGAAACATCTTGCTTGCTTGGCAGATTCACAGGAAGGCCGGAGTCTCACCTTGCAGCCTTCACAGGCGCTGACACCATAGTGGTACCCTGAGGACTTGTCCTGGCACACAAAGCAGGGCTTGTAGATGCGGGGCGGCGGTGGAGGCGAGGGCGGGCTTGGCACTATCTCTTCGGAGCTGGTACTCTGGGTCTCTATCGCTGTGGAGAGGAAAGAGCAACAAGAAAGAGAGGGGGGGGGGGGGGGGGGGTTAGTGAACACTATCAGATGGAGCGCTGACAGACACGAGGCCTTAATCGATATCAGTTGGACAAACACAGAATCGCACACACACACAGATCTTAAACAACTCGGACTGCTGACAACATCCAATACAAATCACCAGGGGAACTTAATGGATTTGTGTTGAAAGATACAAAAACTGCAAAGGACAAGGACAACTTTTTGGTTTATAGATCTACTAAAGGAAAGACTTAGAACAAACACACACTCATCAAACAGCGGTAATACAATCTCTGCAGATGTTTTTTTTTAAATGTACTGCTTAAATTATGTCTACGTGTTACATCGAGGGTCCAAAGACAGGTTTCTCCTCTTATACACGCCATTGTGCTTTCATGTATTTATAGAAAGTAGAAATACTGGCTTCTTAACGTACAAGGTGATGTCTGTTAAAAAAGATTAAAGATCCCCACAAATAGTGTTTAAAATTAAATTATATTTAAGAGGCTGAAACAACGTGTCAATTTATCGACAGAAAAGCATGTGCTCTTCTGCAGGGCTAAGCATAATTATCAATGCTTCTGACCAAGAAAGACATAACTTTGTTTACTCTCCCCGACCGAACACACACCTCAGTCCCTCTTATTCAATATCCAGTAAACAGAGAGAGGCCGCTCCGTCTTCATCCAATAAGCACTAATATGACAACCCGAACAACATGCAGGCTCCTGTATTCTGTGGGCTTGTGCATAGTAAACAAAGGCAGTCCAGGATTGTGGGGAAGTCACCTGCTGTTTGCCTCGTGTAATATGTATTGGACTTTGACCTCAATATCCTGTGTGTTACAAAACAAAGCTCTTTAATCAAACATAAAAACACACAGTCACAGCGGTGACCTGCACCCTGGGGCCTATGGCTGACTAAATAAGTACATAATCCCTTTTTTTCAACGGTGGATTTATGAGCTAGCATGTGTGCCCCAATTGCATGATGTTTTGTAAAGTTAGAATTCCTGAGCTTAGATATCCAAACAAAGTTAAACCTTCAATTTTTTCCATTAAAACGGACCATTGTTTTTGGCTGTCACACAGATTCAACAGCTTTTTCTATTTACAGTGCACACATTACATTTTGACACTTTTATCCAAAGTGACTGGCAATAGGTGCATTCAATTATGAGGATACAAACTCCAAAAAAGCTAATTGTCCTTAAATAAATTAGCTTAAAATAAGACAAACCTTCCTAAGTGCTACAAACAGATTGTAGGTGCAGTCTAAACCTGTGTTTTCAGTCTGTGATGTAAGATGTGTTGACTACTTTCTGCTTCACTGATTTCAATTGACAGTTTGGGAGTTCCACTTATTCGGAGCAACGATAACATCTTGTATTGAGGGGAACTCTAAGGGAGAAGCAAGCTGATTGGCCGAAGCAGAGCGAAGTGCTTGGGTGTATGATTTGACCATATCCTGGATGTAGGAAGAGCTAGGAAGTCCAGCTAGTGAGCTAAATCCTTCCACATACAGGAATATGTGGTCATCCTTGCTCCACCCAGCATCATCAGCTCAACAGCAGAGGGATTGGGAAGGTTGACAAGGAGCTCAGCGTGTAAATAAGCCATCTATATTTAACAGATTGGGCTGGTTCAGCAGGCCGTAGTGCAGCTGGCAACACACACTCCATGTGACGGCACCGTGGACAAACACTTCCTGACACTGCACACACACCTCTAATCAAGCTGCACACTGGGCAATATTAAGCCAGGATGAAGTTTTTTTTTTTCACACACACACACACACACACACACACACACACACACACACACACACACACACACACACACACACACACACACACACACACACACACACACACACACACACACACACACACACACACACACACACACTTTCCTATCCTTTTATAGTGCCTGTGTGCTGGTCTCAGCTTGCCAATCTCCCTGTGAATGCAGCAAATGGTGCAGGGGAAGATTACATTCAGAATAACCAAAATAAACCAACCTGATGCCCAGATATGTTCAGGGCTTCCTGGAAAAAATAACAGATACAAGCACGGTACACCAAAACCCAACCTCTGCAAAGCCTGCCTGTTATCTCTGCCCTCGGGAAAAACACACACAGCGTAGTCAAGTGGGGTTTCAAGTGACGTGTGACAGTAAAGCTTGCATTGCAACACCTAACAGTGACACCTAATCAGAGCCGGGGATATTAAGACATTTCATTTATGAGGCCCAGATGTCATGTGCCACTTTGATGCCAGCCACAACCTTTCATGATCTCGGTGTAAATAGGTCAATGTGGGTTAGAGGGTGAAACGTGGGACCACAGCCTGGATTGACACACTTATTGAACAGAGATGCTTTTGTGAAGGAAACGTTTTTGACGGGAAGAAGGAAGGAAATGAAGTGAGGAAAGCAGGGAGGCACACAAAGACAGAAAACCGCCCTGTGTTTGAGCAATAAATAAAGAGAAACAGACAAAAACTGATGAAGTGAGACTCATCAAGTTCGCCTAAGACACACACGGCTGTCAGGTTTTTACTTACAGCTCAGAAAACTACGAATAGGAATATTTTTGAAACTAGGAAAGGAGTGATACGATTGAGACGGGGTGTTGAAATGTTCTCATAAACAAGAATTATACTATTTTCTAGCAAAGAGAGTTATGCATATGGCAGTAAGAAGACACAGTTATATTGCTGTGGTTAAAAAGAGAAAAATATGAGGTGATTTTGTGCAATAGCTAGTGAAAAAGGGCATCTTCTGCATCTCATTGCCATTTTGATTGGAGTCACTATGGGTCATGTTAGTTCATGCCACTTGGCCATGATGTCACCACACTCACATCAAACAAATTCAACTTAAACAGAGCAGCTCTTACGTAACATGGCATATTTTTCTCATTAGCAAAGAACCATTCAGAGTTTTCTGCGCTCTTCTGCTTCAGTTGATGCGGACTGATTACGGCCTTGCGTTATTAGTGTGGCCACAGGGCTATTCATCCATGTTAAAGCTTACTTCTGTAGAACGCGTAGACACGTATGTGCCACACACATTTGCGAGTAAACATGAAAATGGCACTCATGCCTACATATTCATAAGGGTTTCCCGGAGTCATTTAAAAAGCTTCAACGCTTGGACACACAGCGCGTAAACACACACACACAGAATGCACAGTCTTAATGAGAGCACCCATGGAAATCTGGAACACGAGGACAAGAGTCTGTGAGGGGGCTGGCGACTGTAATTAAATACAATGGCTGGCTTCTGGAGCCCTGTCAGGCTGAGGCATGGAGCGAGACAATGGCAGGCCTGTGGACAGCGAGGCTCGGCAGAGAGGGCAGAGCTACTTAGCCCCTCAGCAGCCCTCGCCCGGGCACTATTCAACACCAGCCTGCATCCAAGCCCTGATCAACACCAACCATCATACAAGCATGCCTATTGTGCGAAATCTACAAAATCATACGCACAAACACTGGAAGAAGTGACTCACGCTGGCCTGGAGGGCTTCCTTCCATCTCCTTGCAACGTATTAACACTGGGAATGTGTCTGGCAAAGGTTTCCGGGCCCTCAAGCAGGGATGTTGAGTAACAAAGTAGATTTACTTTGAATTTAATGTTTATTTCAATTTTTCACTATTTGTTCTTCTAATATCTGCACCTTTACCAGCTTTGATAACACTTGAATGCATCAATAATAATCAAAACATATAATATGTATTATTCTGAAATGGGCCAATCTGCAGAATAAGTAGTTTTACTTTTGGTACTTTATATTTTGATGCCAATACTTGAGTAATATTTTGATTGCAGGACTCATACATGTAACAGAGTATTCCAACACCGCTGCCCTCAACAGCCTGCAAAGACACCACGGTAACTAATACTCGAGATACAGCTAGAATATCATTCCTTTAGCCAAGGGAGGGGAACATGAAGAGACAATAACACGCCCCTACGCTGATAAATAACAAACATTGAGGAGTTACTGATAAGAAGTCTCCGGTTGGGAGGTGAAACACACATCACACCGCATTTCTTGTAAACCAAACATGAGGCTGCTTTGAAGACTGCAGCCTGGCATGTTGTCAGACCAGTCTGAGGAACACACAGGTGAATCCAAAGGCAACTAACCTGACAGCCCTAAGATGAAACATCAGGAGCCAATTTAGAGGAGGGCGTGTCAGGTAACATTTGACCATTGGCTCTGGCTGGAAACAAGCTTTTCCTGCTGATTCTCACACATTTAAAGCAATGGATGCATCAAATATCATGTTTTTAAGTTGGTATTAATTGTTCTAAGCCAGGGGTGTCAAACTCATTTTAGTTAAGGGGCCAAATATAGACACATTTGATCTTGGGGCAGTAAAATCAGAGCATAATAACCTATAAATAACCACAACTTAAAAGTGTTCCCTTTGTTTTAGTGCAAAAAGTACATTCTAAAAATGAATGAAATTACAAATTGAATTATTTTACAAACATTTCCGAACCTCTATACAAACTAAAGTGCGGAAGAAGGTTAAGTTATCCCCCTGACTTGTTAATGTATACAAAATACACTAAAGTTGAGAAAATTGCCCTTTATGTTTCTGTCATTTTAACACTTTGCAAAGTCATCCCGTGGGCCGAATGTTTGACACCCCTATACACTGTTTAGACTCTAAACAGTGTATGAGTCGGCAACAAATCAACAGCATACTTATCTGATGAAAACAATTCTGGATGACCTAGTTCTGGACTGAATGCACTGAGATCTCTCCTTTGATATTCACATATCAGACGAGTATAATAAACCCTGTGCGCATGCGAGAATCCAGATATCTTAATAGCTTAAAGCAGCACGGTGTTCTCCAACTCAGAGCCAAAGCACCGGTCATTTAATTAAGTTCAAGTGTGAGTGGTCTGTAATGCCGCTCTTCGGATTCACTTTGCATACATCATGAGCCACAAGTGCACTTAGAGA